AGTGCTGTGCTCGCCCCTGTTTTCAGCAACGGGACGTTCGTTCGTTAGGAGCCAGACAGCTGGACCGCGGCCCCAAACCGCAGTAGGAGATGACTAATGCGCGTCATTAGGAATTATCTGCACAGAACCCCCACGCACTCCGGGTTGTTCAGCAATCAGACAGAAAGCAGTTTGTCTGGGATTGCCCCCTTTATCCTGTCGGGGGTGGAAGGTACAATATACCCCCGTGTCCCCCCCCGGGTCCTTGAGGCTCTTTTCCTCTGAAAAGGCAAGTACAGCATGTGAGCAGCGCAGAGGACAGCAGAAAAACCATGCCTAGAAAGTTCACTGCTCCCTGTTGTAGATCTGGTTTATACAGCAGCAGAAATCACAGGCTTCAAAATGTTTATCTAAAGCCACCCACCTGGCAGGGAATAGCTTTATTTCTCATTGGTATTACCCTCTTCACACCCAAGTCAGCTCCACACACAGACAAGGGAAAGCCTCTAAAATCCTTGGGACTCCACTGCCTTTGCCACCTCTAGCCAAGGCTTTCCCAATCAGTGCTGCTCCCTCTTGGTCCCTTGTTTTTGCCCCCCAGGTGGGGAAGTTCCTGCAGATCTCCTCATAGAGACTCCCATCTTCAAGGGGATATTTGTGGACCCCCATCCTATTCCCCAGATGTAAACTAGAGGTGATAAAGCCAAACACTTTTTAGGCTGCTCTAAGACCCAGAGAGCCCTACAACATGAGCTATATTTCATTGGATTATGAGCAAGCCTTGTCCTTCCTCCAGCTTGCCAAACAAAAGAGAGTCCAGAGGTAATTTACTAAAAGAACAACTTTTAGGTCAGTCTGACATTTGATGTAAATGGAAAAATGTTTCTTATGAATATTGGATTTAATTGTCGTGGGAGAACTTGCCATCAAGATTCAGGTGGCAGAGGAGCTGCTGGTTGTCACCCGCTGTGACAGAGGCCACTCCAGCACTGACAAACAGCTTCACACTGCGAATTGCCAAGTGCTATTTATATAAATGAGTGGAAGTGCACAGAAATAGATGCAAAATTAATGTTAATGCAGTTGCTCCTTTCTCCTTCCATGCTTTGGTTCAGGATTTCTTAATGCTTCGGGGCTTCCCTTCTTATCCCGCTCATCTTTTTTTCTTAGTGATAACAACGCAGATGTTCATTCTGCTGTTTCCTCCTTCTCCCCTTCAGAGCCATTTCTATAAAAAATCTCCTTTGCTCAGTCCAGGAGACAACTTGAAAGGACTCCTTCCAGCCACGACAGAGGATGCACGAGGAGCAACAAGATGATAAAAGGAATAACAGAGGAATAATAGTGCAAAGGTTGCAAGAGGAATAATGTCAGAATGATCCCTCTGTTCCCAAAGAACGGCTCCACTTTAACTCACATGCAGAAGGAAAAGGGTGTCCCTGTCTATCCCTCTACCATTTTCCCACAAAACAGAGAGGTAGGACAACATAGTGCTTGACACACCTGACCAGGACTCAGGAGATTCCAGCTCAGCCATCACATCTGCTGCCAGCTGCCCAGGCAATCCAAGAGAGAAAAATCAGCCATGCCATGCTGTTCTCATTTTCAGATTGTTCTACCACAAGGCACTACACATCAAGAGGCTCAGCCTCAGTCCTAAACTCATTTGTAAGGAAAGCAAACTAAGAAAAGAAAGATTTGCAATTTGCCAAGGGATGTTCATTTCCTAAGACGATCTGACGCAAAACCATTGATATTTTGGGGAAGAAATATTCTGGAGCACAAACCACCACAGACTGCTTTCTTGTGTGGCCCAGGCCTACCAGGAATACAGTCTGGCAGGCTTTGAATTTCAACTTCTGTCAAGAGAGCACTAAGGAACCCCTCCAGGAGACAGGAATGAGATAGCATTTTGGTTGTGTTTCTCTGTGGACCAAAAAGCTGCTGCAAGCCACAAAGAACTGGCTAGTTAGCCAAGACATTCTTGTTCAAAAGTGTTTTTCACTGGAAATTTGGAACACTGACTAAAGGATTCCCATGCCTCAGAAAAGCATTTTTCCACAGAAAAGGAAAGATTGTTATTATTATTATTAATCGAACAACTGAACTTCCAGACCTAAGTAGTTCTATGTGAGTGTGTTCCTGCAGGGCCTCAATAGAGGCACCAGCAATGAGATGATCAAGAGGACATTTTAGGACCTAAATGCCCCGTGCCTCACTCCCTTTCCAATAAGGGAGACTGTGCAGGACATTCTTCAGCCCAACCAGCCAACCTGATCAGAAGAAAAAATAAAAGAGAAAGGAAAGGGAACACCAAGTACCGAAGGAACAACAAATCACTGGCAGGACGACAGCATTGCCAAAGCAATCTCTCCCCCACATCAATTTCTGTCCTAAAAAACAAGGAAAAAAAAATCCCCAAACAACTCGATTAAAAGTTTCTGAGCTGCAAACGCGAACCAAGTCCCCACTAATTCCACCTACTTTGGCCACTCCCCACCTCCCAGACTAGACTCCCGTCGTCCCACGAGCCAGACTTGTTCCAGCTAGTCCAATTTAGTGAAGCAACAATTCAACATCCTCCAACGCCCTTCATCTCGTGGGGCCTGTTGGTCTGAACCCTCAGCTCCGGATGCGCGAGGAGAGCGGGATGCTGACTATCTGCATCTCCTCCATCAGAGAGCTCTGAGTAACACTGAGCACGCAGCTACAGCTGCCCCACTTGTGGATAAAACGAAAAATCAGAAAGGAGGCAATTGTTTTTCCAAGCATCAGTGCTGTAATAAGAAGGAAAGTTTGATTCCCAATATAATAAAATTACACTCGAGTGGCAGCCAACTATTCGAAAGCTGATATCAGAGCACCAACTCTGCTGGTGATTTATAAATGAAGATACAGAGTGGGTGGGCTGTGGATATGAACTTCATTGCAAGATGTCAACTGTATGAAACTTCTGCAGATATTCAGTCAATGAAAACCATTATTCTCCCTATTTTCCACAGTTATCTGGCTAACTGTGCATCTGCAGCTTTTACAGCACTGTTCTCAGATGTGACAGCAGGGATTTTCCCCTCATTGTGCAAAAACAAGTATGTCATTTACAAGAGGTCTAAAAAGCTTTGCTGCCCTGAAAGCAACCCGAGATGGCTCGGTATGGTCCCCACCCATCAACGTGCAGAAAACGCTGCCCTTGGAGCCATCCAAGGCTGCGCTGGGTTTTCTGCTTCGCCTGCAGCTGCAGAGGAGCCAGCTCCGAATTTCTCTGGTCAGTCCTGTAAACATCTTGGACTTATTTCAGCATGAGATGAACACAAGTCCAGTGATTCAACTTGGACAGCTGCTACCGCCAGGACAACACACTTTGAGACAAGACATGCTACGTGCGCACGTGTTTTCGTCTGCATGTGTCTAGGAAGTCTAGAGGGATTCGGGATAGGATTTTTCCCCTCTGCATCCAGAGCTCTTTGTTTGTAGCACAAGCGCCATTAAAAAAATGCATGACGACAGTAAATGACAATTTGTTTTCCTCCTTGCTGGGCATTCAGCAGTTGCAAAGTCGGCTGCAAGCTTATTCTAAGCCACAGCACTAGAAGTGGAATTCCTAGTGGATCTGCTCCCATGCTTCTCCAGCAGCTTCCCAGTCCTCTTAATTTTTGTCTCCCTTTTTTTCTCGCTGTTTTGACAACTCAGTTGATTTCTTCACAACTTTCATGTTCGCATAATATTTGTTCCATACACAAACAGGCTATTAAATCCAACTCAGCTATTATATCAATGTCAGCAAATAATTTCCGACATTGCTCAAGGGACAACGTTTTTTGTTCACCAAAACAACTCTGAACGTGCAACAAGGCCAAAATGTTTGGGTTTAGGAGTGTAAAGATAAACACCAGTAATTAATAATTAAACACTTTATATAAGAATGACATTATTCCTCCCCAAAGAGCCTGGGTGTCTACAGCTCAAAGTTGGCAGTCTGTCTTTCAAATATCTGAAGTCAAATGTGCACGCAATAAATACCGTATTTCATCAATGCTGTCAGTACAAAACATTTGACTTATCCAAGTCTTAAAGCTGCACAGACTGTAACAAGTTCTACTACTTTCAGTGCTAACCAACAGTTATAAATGCCTTGAGGTGGGAATTGAGCTTAAAACCCAGTTTCAGGCTCTGTTGTTATATTTTTTAATTATCTGGGGCATCGCCCTTCTCTGCTCCTCTGTGATATGAGGATGCCTGTAACTTCCTTACAGCTCTTCAAAAAGAGATCCTAAAGCTTATGCCTTGGTGAAATCATGGTATTTCTGATGTACTGAGGTCCTGCAGCACTTAACTTAAGTTCTAACATTTAAACTCTGCACTACCAGCATGGCAAGCACCATGCCCACCTCTTTGGTCTGTTGGAATTTGAGGTAGAATCAAGCAATGCCTTACCTGTTTACTGTAGTGGACACTGGTTTTATTCCTGTTGTTGTCCAGCAGCCCCCCACATTTGCCCAACGCTGCCAAATCCTTCATAATAGAGTTCAGAGCTTCTTCTTCATCTGCAAAAGAAGGTGAGACAACTGAAGTGTGGAAGGTAACCTCACCCCCAGAACTACAGAGTAAAAGCACAGCATTGCAAAGACAAGCTTTCAATCCAAATGGTTCAAGAGCCATGATGTCAAGCCTTCCTTTTAAGAGAGACATTCCAAGGCATTCCAGCTCATGGCGTCTTGGAAATACAGGTTCTTCACCACAGGTGAGCCAAATCCTCAGATCTTATTGCAGCCTTTCAGTTCCAGAAGGGGGCTTACAAGAAAACCAGAGAGGGAATCTTGACAAGGGCAAGTAGTGAGTGACAGGACATGAGACAATGTCTTTAAACTGACAGAGGGTCAGTTTAGATTAGGGAGAAATTAGGGAGAAATTTTCCACTGTGCGGGTGGTGAAGCCCTGGCACAGGTTGCCCAGAGAAGCTGTGGATGCCCCATCCCTGGATGTGTTCAAAGCCAGGTTGGATGGAGCAGCTTGGTCAAGTGGAAGGTGTCCCTGCTCATGGCAGGGGGATTGGAACTGGATTATCTTAAAAGTCCCTTCCAGATCCAGTTTTTGTGGTGTATGGTGGTGCTCTGCAGGACAGAAACCCTTCAGGGCCCAGAAAGCTCATGGCAGCAGATGATGGGGCACAACACAGTTCTTCATCTCCTCCTTTCCTCCCTCTTCATTAAGGGTGCTCAAGAACCACAGCTGATTTTCAAAACCAGAGGCATCAAGAAACCACAGGAGAGGGTAAGGAATTCATTAGAAGAGATAAAGTCAGCAATGCTAGATAGAAGAAATCAGAGAACTTTGAAGGACCCATTTGATCTGAAACCAATCTCCTCCTTTTCAACACTTTTCCATCTGTGGTTGTGGCCTCTTAAAGCAGCTCTGAACTGTGACACTGCAAAATTCCAACCACAAGCTCTAAGAGCCCTGTCAAGACTTAGGGCAGGGCACACTCCTTAGGAGGGTGTGAGAACCCACTGCACGCTCCGTGTTTGTGATATACCCAAGACAAATATTAGGCACGTGCAGCTATTACTGTAAAAATACAAATACAGCTACAAATTTTGTCTAAAAGTGAGTGTCTCCAGGGACAGAACCACCCCTACACCAAGCCAGCCTGCAGATTTAACTCAAAGCCCACAAATATGTGAAAAATTACAAAAATTGTATGAAATCAGACAGGACCGGACCCAAATACTGAGGATCTTTCCCCAGGGAGGTGTATGTCCTGGATCCTCATACTCAGATACAATATCATATCCTCTTTTTCTGCTCCTCCTGCTGGGTTCTGTCAGGATTGAAGGTGTGGAAAAAAAAAAGATGTGAGAAAAAGGCTCCTCATGCATGCTGTGCACCCAGAGCCATCTCATTAAAGAAATAAGGGGGAAAACTGGGGAAAATGTTTAAAATCCAGTGTCACTTTCATTTTATTGCTCAGAAATGAGCTCCAATGCCTACATCAGACTATTAGGAAAATGCCTACATGTGTATGTATATTTAGTATATAAACAGATATCTATGTATCAATATTAAATATACAATTGATAAAATAATAAAATTCATAGCAAAGTACATTAAAATAAAATTCCTTTTCCATTCCACATTTCCCTATTTACTAAAAACACAGGTATGTTTTTCCAAAGGGGTGGGAGGGAGAGCAGCCTGAAATGCCACAAGAAAACACTCAAAAAAAAGATAATTTTCAGTTCTAGTTCAGAAAAAAAGCCCAAAACAAACAAACAAACAAAACCCAAACCCACAACAAGAATATCCCCATGGCTTGGGTTTGGGGTATTTTTCTTTTGTTGCTGTTTGTTTTTTTCAGGTTGCTTTTTTTTTTAAAGGACCTCTGGGACAAACACAGTTTTCCACACAGATTTTGTGGAAAATACCTGACACAAAAAAAAAAAACAGAAGAAAAAAAAGCCTCTTTTTCTTTTTTTTTTTTTTTTTTTTTTGGAGAGGTAAAGGGAAAGGGGGGAGGGACAAGCTAAAACAAACCCACAAAACAAAACCCCTTACGCTGCCTTCCAGGAATTTTCCACCAAAGCCCTAATCCCCACAATGCCCCTCGCCCCCTTTTTTTTTTCCAGCCCGAGTGACAGCAAAAGTTTCCTGAACTTTTTTTCCTGACACAAAACACAATCCATAAAGTCACGGGCAAACAGGGCTTCAACAGGCAGAGGCAGAGCCAGGCTTTTGCTACCAAAACCACCCTATTCACCACCACTCTCCCAACTCCAAACCTCCCTGGCCAGGCCTGGCAGCGTCTTCAAAGAGATTCATCTCTGGTTAATCCACCAAGGATAGTCCAGAACTTGCCCCAGGGATGGACAGCAGGATTTGCTGGAGGGTAATAGTAATAATAATAACAACAAATAATAATAAACCAACAAACAGAGACAGAGTAATTTCAAAGTTTACTGGAGTGGCTGTAAAGCCACTTCTCTCCATCCCAGGAGAAAGACCTGCAGCCCCCAAGAGTTGGCCCAAGCTCCCCACAGACCACTTGTGACAAGTTGTTTACCAGAGGGCAAAGCAAGGAAGGCCAACTTCCCTTGGACTTCTGTGTTCTTCTTAAACACCAAGGAGTTTCCAACATCTAGGAAAGGTTTGGTTTATGTGACACTGCCCTCAAAGCAATAAGTGAGTCTTTCTCCTCTACCTACCCATCATTTATGCCAATACTTTTTGCAACACAGTCTTCCGAGTCCATCAAACACAGGTTTAAAAATTCCTGCTGCTGCAAGTCCAGCTGCATCACTATGGAAGTCACATTTTTGAGGAAGTCAGGCTACACATCCCTGCCAGAAGTGACCTTTTGCATCTCTCCCAGCATAGCAAAGCAAGGAGAATCCACTCCCTTTCAGTAACTGCCTAAATTCAGCTGATTTTCAGAAATACCCAACCATCAACTTAAGCAGCCAAGAACCAGTGGTGTAAAACTGGGCTCCAGCTACCCTGAATCAGTTATTGAAGGAAAAAAAAAACCAAAAAAGAAGTCATTTCTTGTATTTGACTGTCAACTCAGCATCTTCGTTCCTCTATCTACTAAAAAGCCAATGCAAAAGAGCATTCTGAAGAGCATTTGAGGATTTTTAATTATAAAACATGGGTGTTACTTGTCCAAAAAAACCCAAAATACACATCTGTGCCATCACTGCTACAAAATAAGGTAAGAAAATTTCTCTTTATATGAGCAGGAGAGGTTGTTTTCTACTGCTGGAGTGCGAAAGAACATGACTTACACACAAGCAGAAATACAGTATTTCCTTGAACTAACGTATTTATATGCGCTTAAGTACTTTTTAACCACTTTTAACAGTGTGTTTTTAGTCCGAGAGAGCTGCAATTTCAGAGGCACGATGACCAAAGCCTCAACTGTTCAAAACAAAAACCCCCACACCATGGTCTGAAGCAACTTCTGAGCAGGAGAATGATTTGCATCATCGGTTGCAAAACCGACACTTCCCAGTCCTCTCCATGACAGCTTTGCACAGGGACTGATGCCTTCCAGACTAAACCTCTTGCCCATTCTAATTACTGCTCCTGGGGTCTCCAAGCTGACTCGCAAGAAGGGTGGAGAACTTTGTTCCATGGAAATAAGCGGCCAGCTCAGCCAGTTCAGTCAAAATTCAAACAAGCACTGGAGCTAACTGGATAATTAAATCCAAATGACACTCCCAAGCCTTTCCAGAGAAAGGGGTGTCACAGGCTGCTTGTTCTCCATTTGGCTCAGTTTGAGTGAGGAGTGGGTGCAGGATGGATGGCTTTCCCAGGGGCAAAATGCCAATCATCAGGAATCCCAGGCCCAAGGGACAGGCAGGATCAAGATTCTCCTTTTCTAGCCCTGGCAGGGCTCAAGTTCTCTTCAGCCTTGTGAGAAGGCAGCATTAAGACTGCACAGCAAACATCTTCCCAGGCTTTGCCATGGCTCCAGAACAAAACAGCTGCGAATTGCACACCACCAGTGAAGTATCCTCAGCACTTGGATGGACTTGGAGACTTGTGGAAACCCTTCTGCAACGTGAGCAGGTTCTTGCTCCTGAAAAACCTTCCGGCCCAGCTTCGCTCTTGCACCATTTTGTACAAATTCACTCAAGGTATTGTAGGTTGACAGGATGAATTGTTCAATGATGTCTGCTCTCTCCCCAGAACACATATAAACACGATTATTTTTACCATTGAAGATCAGGACAAAAAAAAGCTGATTACAGAGACAGCAGAAATGAAACATAAAAATAAATTGTGTTTAGTACTGTCCCTCTGTCCCTGGTGTCTCTTCTTCCATCCTTAGTTCTGTCTTTATTTTCAGCTATTTCTTTTAGTAGGAAACTCATTTCTTTCATCCCTACTTCCCACCAACACCCCAGTTTTGTGCTTTTTAAATCATCTCCCTGAGACAAAGCTCATTTGATCATGCTGCCAGCCTATCCAACCAAGGACTACTTCCAACCAAAAATAATAGATGTCTCAAAGATATTAATTTCCCAGAGGTTTGGGGGCGGAGGGGAAATATCCATAGCCACATTGAAGAGAGGAACACACAGAAGTAGTAAGCCAAGAGCACTCCCAGGAAGCAACGGCCAGTGGAGCTACAGTGGATATGGGAAGGTTGGGTTTATATTTTTATTAGAGCACAACTCATCCGTTTTGGCAGGATCTTATATCAAAACCAGAACACCTCCTTCTCTCATCAAGTTTTCAGTTCTGCGAGATGTTAAGACTCACAAGTCCCAGACTCACTACCAATGTGAATCTGGAGCATTTGGCACTTGGCAAAATCAAAGAGCCAGAAGATGACACATCTCTCTGCCCTTCAGATACACGTTTCCGGTGCTGCTCCATGGCTCTGGTTCCAGAGTGCGTGAGGGAGAGAGGAACCTGGAGTTTCAGTCTTAGTACAGCCAGTTCACTGCTCTTGGAGAAGGAAAAAATAAAACCCACAAGGGAGAAATAGAAAGCCTGAAGGTCAACACGGACCACCCAAAACAATTCAAGAGTCCGGAGAGAA